AAAAAAAAAAAAAGGCGCTGTTCATCCGGAACAATGATCCGGAAGGAACCATAGACGTACAGCCTCCCTTTCCGGTCATGTGACTTTTTGGATTGTTTGGGGTCGCGCGTCTTTCAGTGTTGGCGGGTATCTAAACTGCCAGCCGGCTGTTGTGTTGCAGAGCCTCTCGGTTGACCACACAAATACTCACTATAAAGAAAATGTCTGACTGGACCAGAGGCAGACGGCGCGATGCTCAAAGCAGCGAACATGAAAATGGGTAAGTTTTGAATTTTGTCGCTTCATCCCCTTAAAATTACCTTTTACGAGCTTCCATTGTGTCTTTTTCCACTTTATGGGATGCGCTATGTTAGCTGAAAACTTGTTCTCAAATATGTTTTACTATATGAGTTGCTAGCAACAAAACACGTTTGCTGGTAACATGCGTAGCTGATTATAACTTGAACGAACGTTGTAGTTACGTGTTCAAGTAACGTTAGTTCAACCTTTTGTGCTTCCTGCGCTAGCTAACGTTGGCATGACTCCTATTGTACTAACGTTAACTAACGTTAGCGCTTACATCTATCTAACTTAGTAACCCGTTGCTCTTTTTGGGCTAACGTTAACATGTTTTGTTGACGTTAACTGGCGTTAACATCGAGTTAAAAGAACAGTAAAGTGGTTCACAGTGGGGTATAATTAGGCATTGTGTGTGTGTTTGTGCACACACAGCTAAAATGCTATTTGATAGGAATACATTATGGAACATGCACAGTAAAGTCAGGGGAGATGACAGACGTTTTGCTGACTAATAGTTACTCTGGGTACAATTGAATTAATATGCATACGTTTCCTCTCAACCCGAAACCATCTGGTCGGACAGATAATGGATGGACAACCGGAAGTAGGAAGTAACATTATGTGGCGGGAGAAACTTAGACGAATTAGCGTTGTTGTATAAACAATAAAGGCAACTTAACTTGAGAGGTAACCTAACCATCATTTTCTTTAAACAATAACGTTCAAGTTAGAAAAGGCCAGAAACTCGTTTAAAACCAGTCGCCACTCTTATTAAGGTGTTTTCAGAGGACTCTTCTAACTTTAGGCATCTGAATGAACAAATATTCCGTCTTTACAGGGTGGAAAATGAGCCTCTTTTACCAGCTGCTGACTGATGGATGTTCAATGTCACAAGCTTCAGTAGTAAATCATTGTTTTTTGTCAGTGGGTTTTTTTATTTGACTAAAGAAAATAATTATAATAACCACACGTGTTGTGGTTTTTGACATTACTCAGACTACCAAAATAATTAGAAGAATTAGAAAAGAATTAGAATTTCTCTAAATAATAAATCTAACTAAATTAAAATAAAAATCACCATATACCCTCAATAATATCTAGTGGAAACATCTAAAATTTAAGTAAAATAAATACAACTGACAGCAAACTCGGACATCAATCAGTATCAGTCCTTCCTCCTGTCCTCTCAGATTCACGTCAAAACTAATGTAATAGACTACACTCAGACATTTCCTTTAGTGGTTTCTAGCTCACTACTAGATTAACCACGGTGCTGTGGTTGTGACAACATGATTATCATTATTACCATTTTGACTGTGTATTGCTTCATTTTGTGCTCTATTGGTTTAGTGGTTTGTCTGACCCCAGTAGAAACATTGTTTTGTGACTTTTTGTCAAAAAAAAAAATTTTGTCGAACATATGCTTACATTCTTTATTGTGTCTTCCCTACGTTGGAGTTATGGGCCATCTCGGTGGTCCCACTGCAGGAAAAGAGGGATCGATGGAAGCCTGCGGACCAAAAGAGACCCAGATGGCGGTGAGAGGGAAAATGGTGGCAACTCTGACAACAGACATACCAGGTAAGAGTATATACCTACAACAGACATAGATTTACATTCATATATGGACGTGAGATGGGTCATTAAATTTGCAGTGTTGAAGGAACAGCCAACACTGAGCAATAACTTCCACCAATATAACCGTGCAATCTCCAACACTTTGCGTTTCCTCCTTAGTTTCACCACTCCAGAGAGTGCAGGCCCAGTGTCTCGCTGGGACAGACAGGCTGACTGGGGCAGCCAGGTGGAGGATGATGAGATGAGGCGGGATGTCCACAGAGACATGCAGCGGTAACCAAACCCTACTTCAATTTGAGTGGTTTTATGCCCAATTCATTAAAAGCACCCTCTTTAATGAGTCATTGTGTGTTCAGTTACAGGAGGAGGATACTGGGTGGAGAGGTCACCCAGAGGGAGAGAAAGACCTCCTCTGGCTCTTCTGGAAGGTATGTCACCATCTCTCATATTGTCTCTTTATGACCATTCAACTGAGAATACTCATTTGTTGATAAAACATGCTATAGATCAGTGGTTCTCAACCTCATCAGGCAGGCAACAGCATTGTCATTCTTAGGCATTCTCTCATTCCAATAACCTCTAGTCAGTAAAATAATTGTGTAAAGTATTAGCTGTTTTACATTACAGCTGCTATTTGCTTCCATTGACAAATTAATAGCAACCTGTCATGCCTTTTATTGTTTGAGTCCAAATCTCTGAATGGGTGGTATCTGTTGCAGCTGTGATTCCAGAGAGGGGGAAAACATGGAGACAGACGAGGCAGTGTTGCTACGGCGTCAGAAGCAGATAAATTATGGCAAGAACACACTGGCCTACGACCGATACATCAAAGAAGTCCCAAAGTAGGTCTACACAAACCCACCCTTCAACCCGTATAGCTCCTAAATTATCATGAGCCCATATGTGCAACATCAAACGTTATACTAGAGTAACTGTTGTGCAGAGACCGAGAAGGGTTACTGTATGAGAAAGAAATGAAGTCAACATTGATTTAAGTGTTTTTATCACGTCTTGTGCGATACGTCACCTATACTCCAGTATCTGTTCCAACAATGACTCTTTTTTTAAGGTACTTTCAGGTGTTGTTAATGCTATTTCAGACTTTGTAATTTCTGGCAAACAGTAACAGCTGTTGATGATTCGCCCTGCACTCTGGAGTGTATGCAAATTTTACATCCAATGTAACGCACACTTAGTGCTATTGGCTTCTGGTAAACCAGTCTATAAGTATATGTAAGTCCCCACCAGCTGCCTGTTTTTTCATAGGAAACACGTAAACATGAGTAATCAAATCTTTCATGGGGACTTTAAGGGCTACGTAGTGGCATTATCACATGTTGCTCTAAAGGGTCACGTGTCAATACAATTAATAATAATAATAAAAAAATAAAAAGCATGATCCTATTGGTTTCTCTTTTTGTTTCCAGACACATGCGTCAGCCGGGTGTTCACCCAAAGACTCCCAATAAGTTTAGGAAGTACAGCCGTCGCTCCTGGGACCAGCAGATCAAACTGTGGAAGGTCAAACTGCACGCCTGGGACCCCCCAACTGAGGGCAGCCAAGACAAAGTCCTCGATAACATGTAAGAAGATATTTGGCCCACAAAGCACAGACCCTATACACACATTATACACTATGGGGCGGCTGTGGCTCAGAGGAAGAGTGGGTCGTACACTAATCGGAAAGTTGTTGGTTCGATAGTTCACATGTCGAAGTATCCTTGAGCAAGATACTGAACCCAAAATTGCTGTGAATGTGTATGAATGAGTTAGTCTCTGTTCGATGGGATTTGCCATCACTGAGTGAATGTGTGTGAAAGGGTGGCATGTAATGTAAAAGCACTTTGAGCTGTCGGAAGACTAGAAAGGCACTATACAAGTACAGGTCCATTTACCATTTACATTGTACAGTCTCAGTGTTGCTCAAGTGTTGTTTTTCGCCTGTTCCTGCAGTGACGAGCTGGGTCTTGATGATGTAATGGACATTGAGCTGGACTTTCCTATCTTGTCAGACTCTCAGAATGTCCCAGCCTCTCTCACCACACACAGCCTATCACTTGAGGTGAGTTGTAGCACATCTAAAGCTCAAACACACATAACACTGTAGACATAGTATTGAGGTTTAATGGCATTAAAAAGCCATAAAAATCTAGCGAAGTTAAGTTTGAATGTAATTTGAACTGACCTAACCTCTAATTTTCTATTATGGAAACGGTTTTATCAAATGAGGACTTGTTGAATGTGAAATCATCAAATAAAACTTGACTGAATCATGATGTGTGATATAACGTGAGAAATCATTGCTGTTATGCAACCACTAGTTAACGTAAGACACTTTTTTTTTTTCTGATTTTGTATTTTGTTAGAGATAACCTCTCAGTTCCTTTAAAACCTGTTTTGTGAAAAAAAAAAAAAACTGAAGGACCAAAAGATCTTATCGGAAGGCACAGGTTGATTGGTTGAGTAGCATTGTGTGAGATGATTTCCACATGCAGTTGGTCTGTGAGGGTCCTGGTCTGCTCAACCAGTACCACGAAGGCTATAAAAGCTGTGCTGGTTAAAATAGAAATGCTCTGTTAAAATTGTCATTAGTTGTAGGTCCGGGTTGGGATAGGAAGGCAACTGGGTCCAGATCCGGATTACCTTTTTATATAAATGTGTTCCCTTACTCAAAAACAATGTAAATAACATACCAGTACCTAAACAAAAAATATTAATATTGCTCTGTTGATTTTGTTTTACAACACAATTTACAATAACACAGTTTGAGGCAATTTCTGATAAATACTTACATTTTAAATAATAATTTAACGAGAAGAACTCTTATGTTTTAAACTTCCATTGACACCATCCAAAGCCTTGATAAAGAGCCTTGCATGATTGTAATAATGTAAATTTATTTTCCCTTCTATCTGTTTAAATTGGAGTACATTTGAACAATAAACAAATGTAATTTCTGGTTATAAACAAATATAACATGCATACTTGTCACTGCATTAAATGTATAAGGAAGATCCAAAATCCCCTTGCCAGAAAACGTCTTTCTGAATAGGATTTAATATAGTCCCCTATGATGTTTGTCTTTTTTGTTGTTTGTATATATTATTATTTTATTCTTCTTATCATTGCATTGACAAAACTTAGCATGGCAGTAGGAGGGAGAACCAGTTCCAGGCTTGATGAGAATAATGAAGGCGACTTGTAAACAGATGGAAGAAAAAACAACAGACATACAATGTTCAGTCTTTTCTTTTCCTCTATTGTCTCTTTTTATATGGTGTTGTAAATCTGTGATGTGGGTCATTAAATGCAAAACTTGAAGCAGAGATTGTAATAATACTTGTAATACTTGAATGAAGATCTGTTTGTTTGTTTGTTTGTTTTTAATTGAACTTGATTGCTTGTGTTCTCTTGCTCAGGGTGAAGATTGTTTGGGTACTCCAGTTAAAGTGCAGAAGACAGAAACCACAGCAGAGCCTGACATGGCATAGCTCATCATTGGTCCCCTCTGCAAGAAAATACACCATGTTCACCCCACCCCCACAACATATTAGGTATTGTTTCTCCATTCACACTAGTGCTTCTTAACTCTTAGGTTGGGGCATTTTACAAATGACTAATCTACTCAGGGAGTCTTCTTAATGGCAGGATTTTACAGTTGCATCAAGCTTCAGTCAGTTAAATGGTTTAGGATCACAGAAACACTAGTAGCACTGATCTGTGGCCTTTTTGTTTGTACATTATGTGCAAATGTTGAATCATCCTGCTTATACTTGCTTAATGCAAGAATATACAAAAACTGGCTGAACTCAAATGGTTCTCTAAAGAGTTTAAAGGAAATGGGCAAACCAAAGTATTTTCCTTTTTAATAATATTGACCGGATTCTTTTCCAAGTACAATTTGAAGTACTGAAGAGCATTGCTTCAGTTATATTGGGCTGTGATTTGTTTTTACATTGGTTGTTTTTTAATACTAATGTTACTGTGTTTCTTATTGCTGTTTCCTTCATGGTGAAGACTTTCAAATAAAAACAAACAAACTTGAATGTCTAATTTTTTTTGGATTATTACTCATCATGTCATCCCTGTGTGACACCATTGCTCCAATACTGTTAAGTGTATATGTTAAGTTTATGATTAGTAGGCCTGCATATTTAGCTGCTATTATCCGTTTGTACTAAAACTACTATCAACTTGGGTTTTACCAAAGCAAATGAATGTAAAAGATTATACCAAGATGCCTATTAAGCAGGAATCTCAAACTTGCATGAAAACCACAAGAAAATCCAACCAACACTTGACTGAAAGAAGTGGATTTTTGGATCAGCTCAGCCCAGGTGATGTCATACTGGCTGATACAGGTTTTCATGTAGCAGAATTTTGGTCTGTACAATGCTGACCTTAAGATCCTAGCTTTTACTAAAGGAAAAAAGCATCAGTTAGGATCTATGTGGAGAGCTCTGTCGGTGCACCATACTACAAAGTATAATTGAAATTCAAATGTGCAGAGCTGAGCACAGTCATCCCTGTCACCCCTAAAAAAATAGTGCATGTGTGCTATGCACTGACAAATTTGGTTAACGTTAGAAAAAAGTGTTACTACACTGGATTGTTATTTCCAATTCTAATGACAATGATGAATTAATAAATAACTGGAATCATAATCGGCTTACAGTATCGCGATATATTGCAATATATTGAATTCTCCGTATTGTGACATATCATATTGGCATATTTTTACCAATACTCCTCAACTGCCTTTGTCTTATGTTCAGTGCCCCATCAAAAAAACTGAAAAAATGTTGTACACCTTAAGTATCAAATTATAGTAAGAAATGATAACCATAACAATGTACACTGTTCATATCACAGCTACATTACTACAACAACATACAACACAACCAGTAAGAAAAGTACACATTAAATAAAAAATAGAAAAAACAAGATATGATAAAAAATATGCTTAACAGGCGCCCGGTTAGCTCACCCATGTACCGAGTTGCTGCACTGGCCCAGGATTCGAATCCGACCTGCGGCCCTTTGCTGCGTGTCACCCCCCCCTCTCTACCCACCTTTCCTGTCTATCTTCAGCTGTCTCTATCGAAAAAAGGCAATAAAAGGCCAAAAAAATAACTTAAAAAAAATATATATA